CAGAATGCATTTCACTTTTCATTTACATACACCAACGAGTTTTGCGTTTGGAAGATTTTTTTTTTTTTTTGAAGAATTTTTTTTGAAAGAAGTCTCTTATGCTCACCAAGGCTGCATTTATTTTGTAATAATATTGTGAAAAAATATTTAAATAACTGTTTTAATAAATATTTTAAAATGTAATCTATTCCTTAAATAATGCATCCTTGCTGAATAAAATCAAACCTTACTGACCTCAGACTTTTGAAGTGTATGTTATTAGTAGTCTGTGTGACCTTTGTGATTACTAATTAAAATGTATGTATCATTGGTTGAACAAGGCAACCTTGCAACTACTTCAACCAAAGGCAATCACAGTCTTACTGTCACATCTGACAGTTGATTATGCCAAAGACATTTTTAAATAAGAACTAAACATTATTTAAAATTTAACTAAACTAAACATTATTTAAAAAATAACATTTTTAAATTTTTAAATAAGAATTTTAAATCATGACCGTTGAATTCAGCTAAAGTGCATTCTTGAGTCAACTTAACAACTAGTTCGATCAGCTAGCAGTCCTTACTTTTTGGATTCAAATTTGACTAATTAACTAGTTTTTATGTAACTGACTTATTTAATGACCAGTCTTAAAGGGGTCATGTGATGCTATTTTAAAGATCATTATTTTGTGTATTTGGTGTAACAGAATATGTTGACATGCTTTAATGTTCAAAAAACCACATTATTTTTCAAATACTGTACATTATTGTAGGTCCTCTATGCCCCGCCTCTCTCAAACACGTAGTTTTCAACAAAGTCCCCTCCTTTGACAAGCGCAGTCTGCTCTGATTGGCCAGCTGACCCAGTGCATTGTGATTGGCCGAACACCACAAGCACGCGTCGGAAATGTAACGCCCCTTACCATAATTGCGAGCGTCAGCTTTCAAAGTAAATATCAAGACAGCTTGTAACACTCCAAAGAGAAAGGAAAACTTGAAATCGCATCATATGACCCCTTTAAAGAAAAAAATGAGATGACTAGTCTAAGCAGTTTATGTAACAGGCCACCAATTCCAGTACAAGTGCATTTGGTAGAAAGTTTTGAAATGCTATTCCAGGTTTGTAGGAAATAGTATTCACCCTTTAGTTTGCATGCAACATTTACTGTATGCATTAGGCCACACAGTCCAAACCGCCAATTGAAATAATTGACCTACACTTCATTGCATCTGCAGGTTAACCTAAATAGCCTTGGCCCTAGTCATGCGGAAAAACGGTAAAGTGTTCATTAATCTTTTTAAAAGAGAAATGTATCCTCTGGCAAGTATGAGCGAGTTGTTGAATCCCAGGGATCCCTTCTGTGTGGCCTGCTGTTATGGTTACAGTAGTTGAAAACCAAGCAACACTTACCAAGATATCCTCAAGCCATGTCAAAAACCTTAAAGTAAGCAGTCACTTGGAACAATGTGAGGGAATTTCTGCTGCAAAAAAAGTAACTTGTATTTAGTATCTTCATACTAAATGTCCAGTTGAATCGGAAGCTTGCATAAAAACATTTTGTGTCACTAATGTGTCTCTTTGCTTATTTGCACTGAATGTTTCTCACGACTGTCGTGCACGGCGTTTGTAATTATAACATAATAATGGAGGCAGATCTGTAATTAAATCTCATTGATCTGGCTTAAATGCATTCTCTTCCTCCTAAATGCACTGCTTTCACCCCTCCTCTCATTCCCATATGCATTATGCACATACCACCATTGTAGCTAGAGCCAGATTTACTTGTCCCACAATGTAAAACGACATAGTTGGGGGGCCTTTCATTGTGTCAATGTCCCTATAAAATTACCCGTTTGCTTTCAGCTCGAGCTGGTTAGACACTCCTCTTAGAAGAGCGCAGACAGCCACTGTGGGCTTTAACAGTCTTTATTAGGCTTGTAGCTATACTCGGGTCATCGGCAGTGGAAAAGTAAAGCCGATTCGCCCCGTCCCAGCTCTTGCGACCGAGGATGACAGCTGGTTACCAGGAGCACACTGGCCTAAATCCAGCCATTTACACCAACAGCAAGCATGCATTGCATTTGTAGAAAAATCCTAGATGTGCATAGTTTAAATATTCATTTATAATTAACTGCGTTGGTGAGATTGTGTTTAAGTTTTCCCAGAAAGCTGTCCTAATCTGAAAAGCACTGCACATGTTCTCTCTCTCTCTCTCTCTCTCTAAATATATATATTGTCTCTTCAGTATGTAGTGTTCAGTCTTGTTGTATATGCTGTTGATTGTTGCTTTTGCAGTGCTGTTTGGGTATGTGACTGAAGTATTTGTCCTCATAACACTTGCTAGTCCAGGTTGTTTGGACTAAACTCTATTATCTGTGTTAATAGAGTGTGGTAGAGGCTAAACAGGTTAATGCTTTTAAAACCACCAGCGGTGAGATAGAGTAGGGAGGAGAAAGTAGCCAATTAGAGATTACAGAGCCAGAGATACTGACAGAGAAAAAGAGGGATGCATACAGCTTAAAAAACAACTGACATTTAGGATTGGAAATACACTTTTGGGATTAGTTCTGTCATCATTTACTTACAATCATGTTATTCCAAACTTTCTAGACTTTTCTTTCTTCTGTGGAACACAAAGTCATTTTCAGTGGCGTGTTGGTCGTTTGTTTCCAAGCAGTTTCACTGAATGGGGAATGGAGATATCAAGCTTCGGGTCATAGAAGTAATCCATATGACTTGACTAACTAAATATTTTTTTAATCGTATGTTTTTTTTTTTGAGGAACAAACTGAAATTTAAGTCTGTATTCACTGTCAGTCCTCTCCAGAAAGCTGTTAACCTGAAACCTTATCATGGAGTCATTTGAACTGAATCATTCCGATTTATGAGCAAATCATGGATTTATAAACTGAATGAACTGATTCACTGAAAAGATCTGATTCAAACAAGAGATTTGTTCACAAATTGCACGACTACTTCTGTCATCATGCCAAGGAGATCTGCATCAGATTTGAGGGATTTCATTGAATATTGTTTAAATTTTGGTTTGTTCTCAAATCTAAGACTTTGAGTTTTATGAATGACTTTTATGGTACTTGTGTTACTTATGTTTTTTAATTAATTTAATTTCTATCTATCTATCTATCTATCTATCTATCTATCTATCTATCTAGCTATCTATACTATCTATCTATCTATCTATCTATCTATCTATCTATCTATCTCTCTATGTAGCTATCTAGCTATCTATATATAGAAGAGTTCAGATGCAAAAGTGGCATTTGAAATTTTCTTCTAAAATTAGCATTTTCATCAGACTCCTATATGTGGGTTCAGTAATTTCACTTTAATGGCAATGAATAGGTTCGAAAAATGCTCATTTTAGAAGGAAAAATTCAGACGTTACTTAGAGGCTTTTGCATCTGAATTCTTCATATATATATATATATATATATATCGTGTGTTGGAAACACAAATTGAGGACCAAATCTGCACCTTATTGATGACCCGTGGCGTTAATATACTGCCTCTGTGCCAGCGCATGATGTAATAAAACTGCAGCTCGTTAATATAATATACAATCCGCCTTCATTTAGCAAGTGCACTCGCGCATAAACAATTTTCAAGTTCAACACTTTGTTCCGTTCAGTTGTGGATGTTGCTGATTCACCGAGACCGCCGCGTCTCAGCAAAGAGATGTGTGTGTGTGTGTGTGTGTTTTCCTTTGAAAAGATAATGTCAATTACAGAATGTACAACGTTTTTAAAATGTATAAATTGCAGTGTACAGCGTTTATTATGAGGGGGTAGAATCCACAGTTCAGTACTCAATACTCATGAGTACTTTTAAATAGGCTACACTTTTACTCTACTCACACTACATTTTTTGGAAGGTAATGGTATATTTTTTTCAGTACTCTTTCCACCACTATTTGTCATTTTAGTGTTCAGAAGGGTGCTCGCGAGCGCCCGCTTTGCGGCCGTTATGCGCCCTCGATCCGCACTTCTGCCAGACTTCTACCCGACAATTCGGCATTACATCATGAAAGTGCGGACTCAGAGGAAGACCACGAGGGTTTAGGGTGCCATTTGGGACAGGGCCTCTATGGTCTACTGAATCATCGGTTCACACGATTCGTTCAAAACGCGGATTCATTCAGAAACTAAACATCGCTGTGTTGCTCGGAGACGCACAACAGTTCTGCTGTGGCTTTATAGTCTAGGTAATATTTTGGCAAAATTGAACAAAAATGATATAAATATGAGACAACAACTCATACAGGGGCATTTTTTGCCCCAATATCTTGAATTTTAGGGCACAATGGAGTTGTTGCCGTGCATCATATTTGTCAACAGTCAGTATGAAATGTAAGATGACGTACAGGTCTGGGGGCGGGGCCAGTGATGATCTGAAACATTAAAGTGTGACAAACATGCAAAAAAATAAGAAATCAGGAAGGGGGCCAACACTTTTTCACACCACTGTATATCTGTTCTGCAGAAGAAAGCAAGCCATATAGGTTTGGATCAACATGAGTAAATGATGAAAGAGTTTTCATTTTGGGTGAACAATCCCGTTATACTCTGAATGGGAACCCAACAGAAGTGCCTCCTGTCAGCGTTCAGCTTTATCTCCATTTTTATGAAGAGGAATAAAAGCACCTCTGTTCCTTCACTCTCCACTAGTCAGCTCAATGTGTGGAGCTTATTATGTAGAATCTTATAAACCCACATACACACATTTTCTAAAGAGAAACACTGTTTCATACTTGCACACACATATGCAGAGACTCATTTATGAAATACACATGTTGGCCTGTGACCAGAGCTTGGCTGTCAGAACACAGTGTGTTTCAGACAGACTTTCTACATACATACTCACACACACACACATAGACAAACATACAGAGAGGACCACAACAACCTCCCCCCCCATCTGTGAGTGTGGGAGAACTTTGATTGTAAAGTTATCATTCATACAGGTATATAACATTATATTTCTCTTTCTCTCTCTCTAGTCATTCCAAGGCAGCCAGGGGCGAGCCTACCTCTTCAATTCAGTGTAAGTATATATCTCATTCACATCAATAATTTATAGCATTTTCCATGTTGTGAATTAAAATGATACACTATTATTGTTCAGAGGTTTTGGGTCTGTCTTTTAAAGAAATTATTATTTTATTCAGCAAGGATGCATGAATTAAAATTAATTAATTAATTTAATTAATTAATTAAAAAAGATTAATAGTGGCAATAAAGATATTTATAATATTGCAAAAGTTTTCTATTTCAAATAAATGCTGTTCTTTTGAACTTTTGAACATCAAAGAATCCTGAAAAAAAATGTTTTATCATGGTTTCCACAGAAATATTAAGCTGCTCAAGAAATGTTTCATGAGCAGCAAATCAGCATATTAGAAGGATTTCTGAAGGATCATGTGACACTGAAAACTGGAGTAATGATGCTGAAAATTCAGCTTTGCATCACAGAAATAAGTTACATTTGAAAATATATTACATAGGAATAGCTGTTTTGCATATTACAAGAGCTGTAGGCCATATTACAAGAGCTGTAGGCCTAGAGTTGATGATTCATCATATTTAAGCATAGCGCTACCAGTGTGTTTTAAGCTAGCGCTCCGGTGTGTGCGAGATATTACGATGATAAAGTCTAGGTTAAATGTGTTTGTGCTAGCGAACTGTGACATTCCTCAGGCAATGCACAGTAGTGCATGAGCGTTAAGCATTGCCATTGCAAAGATATAAAAACATAAACACAAGAAGGATTCTTTCATTAAGAGTTAAGTTTCTCTTGAAATATTATACAATATTGACCTATACAGACTTTATGAAAGAATGTGTTAATGCAAAATGAGTTAAATTAGATCACTTCACATTACCACTGGAAAAGCCTGCTGATGCACGGCACATTATTTACAAATATCATATGCCAGCGTTCAAAAGTTTGGCATCAGTACAATTTTTTAAAAGAAATTAATACTTTTATTCAGCAAGGATGCATTAAACTGATCAAAAGTGACAGTATAGACATTTATAATATAACGATTTTAATTTTAATAAATGCTGTTCTTTTGAACTTTCCATTCATCAAAGAATCCAGAAAAAATATCATTATTTGCACAAAAATATTAAGCGGTTTTCAACATTGACAATAATAAGAAATGTTTCTTGAGCACAAATCAGAATGATTTCTGAAGGATAATGTGACACTCTGAAGACTCTAGGAATAGATGCAGAAAAATTCAGCTTTGCATCACAGGCATAAATTACATTTTAAAATATATTGCAATAGAAAACAGTTATTTTAATTGTTAATAATATTTCACAATTTCACAGTTCTTACTACATTTATCAAATAAATGCAGCCTTTGTGAGCATATAAGAGTCAAAAACAAAAAAATCTTACCAACCCCAAACTTTGGAACGATAGTGCAAATTGTGAGATTATGATTTTTATTCAGTATGCATTCCAATAATTTTGACCATTATATCAAAGCCAGCTCATTATGCAATGCATCTAGTCCCCATCAGCTAATTTAAATAATATTTTGATTTGCTACTAATTTGTAGGATTACTAACATTTGAGCCAGATGAGCAGAACAAATTTGTGTAAATCATTTGTAAAACCATTCTTATGTAAATCGCATTGAATTGAATGCTGCAGTTTATGTATATGATTTTACCAACGGCATCTAAAATAGCCTATGCATAGTCTGTTTTTATGTCAAGTTGATTTCTGTTGAAAATTAAATGTAATTTTAAAGCTATTGTAGTCGTAGCTGTGATGCTACATGGCCGCTGGTCACTTCCAGTGTAGACACAGTATTTCCAGTGATAGCAATCACATCTGCTGTAGTTCTGTTTCTGACCTCCTTAGTGGTCAACCAGTAAAGGTTACCCACAATGACTTTCAGAAAACACATGGGTCACATGAATAATCATTTTGACCATTGATTAACCTCTTTTCCCTCAGTGTGAATGTCGGTTGTGGTCCAGCAGAGGAGAGGGTTCTCCTAACAGGTTTACACGCTGTGGCGGACATCTACTGTGAAAATTGTAAAACCACTCTGGGCTGGAAATACGTAAGTTAACTCTCCTTCCATTCCATGCCAATTATAGACTATTATTTGAAACGCTTTTCCTTGCATCACAAGACAAGCTGCGTTTTGTTTCGAGGTGTCGCACTTTGCTTGTATGTGCTTGTTCTGCAGTTGCAGTGACAGCAGTTGGCTAATCTGAGCTGTGTGGGTTTCTTTATTTTTGTCTACTGATATCCTGTTACTTTGCTGGTCTTTAGTGACCAGAATTAACACCCTCTGACCTCTCACTGCAGTCCAGCACACATTTAGATCTATATATGTCTTTATTCACCGCTCAATTAGGACCCACTTCGATGCTGTAAGTGTTCATGCTGTTGTGTTTTCATATGCAATCCAAACAGCAGACACTGAATAATAGATCAGTTTTGATAACATTTTATAATAACTTTCAGTAATAAGTCACTAAAACAAGCACACATCTCATAATATAATGCTGAACAGATCTGTAATGTGAATTTAACATTTGAAATGACGTTTTATTAATATTTGAATACATTTCATCAAACATGAAAATATCGAAATGGACAATAAATAAATATTTTTTTAAAGAAATTAATACTTTTATTCAGCAAGCATGCATTGCATTAATTAAAAGTGACAGTAAAGACATTTATAATTTTGCAAAAGATTTCTGTATCAATTATGTGAAACTGGATTATGGATATGGATTATGTGACACTGACTGAAGCCTGGAATAATGGCTGCTGAAAATTCAGATTTGCCATCACAAAAATAAATTACATTTTAAAATATATTCAAATATATTCTGTTACTTTAAAATATATATTTTCACAATATATGTATTAATATATAATGTATTTTTGATCAAATACAGCATTTCTGTGCATAAGAGGCAAAAACTGAGAAAAAAAATATTGTTTAATATTGATTTAGGTTCATTTGGATCAGTGATGAGCTATTCAGTATAAAAATGCTAAATATGTTTGCAATATATTCCAACCTATCCAAATTTATTTATCTAATTACATGTTAATGAGGACAAAATAGCTAAGTTTAATGTATCTCTGCTTTGGAAAGCAGTAGTATTGTGTTAATGTATTACTCAAAGTTTTTGTAATCTAATAATTATTTCACCTAAAGCTAATCATAAAAGGAAAGTTCTGTCGCATTGTTTTTATGTGTTTTTGTAGATGGCAGGTATTGAGGTATTGTGTGGCTGTTTCTCTTCCTGATTAAACCAGAGCTCTTATCGTGTCTCAGGATTGGTTAAGAGGGATTTTACACTCATGACTCAATCTTGTTAAACGTCTTCAGGTCTCCACATGTTTGATTACAAAGCCTTTAGATTCAAGCCACTCTGAAACACTGATCACAGACCAGTTTCTCGAAGCTCTTTTCACCATCATCTGATGAGAAACTCTCAGGAACAGCTCTTATTTCAAGCCAACTGAGTCAAAGCTGGCAGTGTAGGGTTTACACACACCACTGCTCTAGTGGGCAGATTTAAGTTCGATGAGTAATGGACAGTTGTGAGAGGAGATTCAGACAGCCTAAAGCAGTCAAAAAGACTTTAGTTAAGCTGACCATACTAAAGCAATAGCTAGTTTTATATAATTTCAGCATGTTATATCATGTAACAGGGGAGTCTTATCCTGTCCAGAATACATTAAAAGGCTCCTGTTCTGCATTTTATAGCATTTTATTTCCCCTTTCTTGGACCAAACATTAAGTTCGATGAGTAATGGACAGTTGTGAGAGGAGATTCAGACAGCCTAAAGCAGTCAAAAAGACTTTAGTTAAGCTGACCATACTAAAGCAATAGCTAGTTTTATATAATTTCAGCATGTTATATCATGTAACAGGGGAGTCTTATCCTGTCCAGAATACATTAAAAGGCTCCTGTTCTGCATTTTTATAGCATTTTATTTCCCCTTTCTTGGACCAAACATGTTCTTCCCTCTTTCTGACCTTTTTAAACAGGCTGTTTTGGCTACTGTACCTTAAAGGCCTCTGTTATGATTGGCTAAGATCTTTGTATCAATGTAGTTCCAGCAACGGTATTGCAGCAGTAAATAATAATCATTATTATTTATTATTTTATAGTCATCAGTTCAGAAAAATTGCTATTCTATTTTTCTCCCCAAAATTGTGCAGCCATACTAGAAAAAGGAGATGGCTGCCAAGCCATATGTAAATGTGGCATATGTCATATGATAGTATATGTATCAGTTATGATATAAACATTGCAGTTTCTATTTTTGTAGTTTAACTTCAATACATGGTCTGGGTGCACTGGTGAGGAAGCATATCAGTATCATAATCTTTTAAGAGAAAGGCAAATCCTGTTTTTCATTATTGTTAAAGGGATAGTTCACCCCCAAAAATAAATATTTTGTCATCATTTACTCACCTTCATGTCTTTCCAAGCCCATAAGGCTTTGGTTAAGCTTTGAAACACAAATTAAGATATTTTTTAATGAAACCTGAGAGGTTTTTGTCCCTCCATTGAAAGCCCAGGAAACCAAAATGTAAAAGATCCTAAAAGGTCATAAAGGCATCATAAAACAAATCCATATGAATTGAGTGTTTTAATCCAAATCTTGTGAAGGGATTCAATCACCTTGTATAATGAACAGATTTAATTTATGCTTTTATGTGCATCTAATCAATGATCGACAAACGCATACATATAGTGCATTGCTTATGGCAAACACAGAAGATTGTGTGTGTGTGTGTGTGTGTGTGTGTGCGCGTGTGTCAAGTCTAGAACAAATTAAAAAACCCAAGTTTTGGATTAAACCACTCTTTTAAAGGCTTTTATGCTGTTTTTGGATCTTCTGATCTTTTTTGGAGTTTTTGTTACCTGAACTTTCAGTGGAGGCGTAGAAACCTCTCAGCTTTCATTAAAAATGTTCATTTGTGTTTTAAAGATTAACCAAAGTATTATGGGTTTGGGTGAGTAAATGATGACAGGATTTTCATTTCTGGCTGAACAATCCCTTCAAGTAGACAGAAATATTGTTTGATTTATCTCAGTAGTCAAAACTGCACGTTTCTCAGTCCTGACGTTTTGTCGTTTTTTGTCTCTGTTACAGGAGCATGCGTTTGAGAGCAGTCAGAAATACAAAGAAGGCAAGTTCATCATCGAGCTGGCTCACATGATCAAAGATAATGGCTGGGAGTGACCTTCACCTACTTCCTCTCCGCTCAGTGACCTTTGGGCTGCTCTGCCGTGGACTTTGCCGAGTGACACCACCACACGCACACGTACACAAACAAAAAACGCACAGACACGCGCGCACACACACGCCACCGTCGACCATGACACATCCTGACATCTCTACTGGGTCATCACAAAACTCAAAGGCAGAGTGACGGAAAGCGAATCGAAGACATCTACGGTCACTGAAAGACTCTCTAGGACCTTTTTCCGAGATGTACATGTCAACACTTTGGGATCCGAACCTTCTCCCTTCCTGTTCGACTGCCCCGTTAAATGGTTTCGGTGTGCTCGGCCCTCCTAGTGTGTAAGCTGTTAACAGTATCCAGAAGACACAGTCTCACTTTTTTCATTTGACATCTTTTTGTGAATGAGCGGGAGGCGTGCATCTTAGTGTGCGTTCTTTCTTTTTCGACAGGAATCTCGAGTCCTTCCTGATGGACTGATGTTACTGGTTAGCATTTTTCTCATTCTCTGCGTCAAGCCCATTCTGATTGTCTTTCCTTTCACTTTGGGGTAGCGACAGTTGACATACGTTATAAGAGTTGGGGTTGGTTTCAGGGTTAGGCTATGTAGCAGTATATTTCAGATGGGGGTGGGCGTTCAGCATTGCAGTGGCATGGCATTTCCCCTGCGTTTTACCCGTTTTATTTCCGAATCGAAATGTTTTTCTTCCTCGGATGACTTCACTGTGCAATTCGTGGGACACTCTGGTACAGCAGTAGCGTCTGACCCCTACAGGAGCTTTAGTTGTCTCTGGTGCTTTTGGTGAGATTACACAAACACGCGTCTTTTGAGTTGGCATTCGTGGCAGGTTCCATTTTTGCAACCGTACTATAGGCGAGAGAAAAAAAACAAAACGAAACAAGACAAGACAAGCGACAGCCGTTTGGATGCACTGGACATTGGGGAAAACTGAAAAGAGTGTCCTCGGAACATTGTTTGCGTTACATTTTCATCCCCCTTCACGCCAAATGATGACAAGATTTTACAGAACTATTGTTGTTGATATTACAATCATGTGTATGTTCATTGCTATGTGTAATTTATGTGTTAAACCACATGTTTGGACATGCACACGCATGTTAGCTCAGTGTGTTTTACGCATTATGTTTATGGCATACTTGAATGCAGTTACTTTGTTTGCACTTTGCAGAGGCCTTGTTCATGGGTTTAGAGGCAAAAGTCTGTCCATTTTATGGCCTTTTTTTCATGGAAAATAATCAAATGATTGTATTAGATGCTTTGAATGATTTTCAGGGTTGGCTGGTTGCTGGCTTGATCATCTCCCTCTACTTTCAAACACACGAAATCTGCTGCTTTCGCTTTCTTCCGCAGGCTACGCTCGTAATTCGTCCAATTGGATTCGCGCATCAGAAGCAGGTCTCGAATTTTACAATCGGACACCAATGTGGCGTTACGTGATTCTTTTGCTGCTAATAGAGATAAATGCAATCCGGAGCTTTCACTTCAAACCTTCTGCACTTTACCTGGACTGTCTGAGAGCATGCGAGCGGATGTGTTCCTTTTGTAGCTTTTCTCCACATCTTTGCCTCTAAGCAGCATGAATCTTGTGCCTCTTCAAAAGATAAAAAAAGAAAAGAAAAGAAATCTCCCTCTCCTGTGTTGTGCGGCGCATGACTCCGAGAACCCAGCACATCTATTAGAAGCTCTGCTGGAGCTTCGTATCGAACTCGAAAACGACACGAACTTGGAAACGAACCTCACAGAACCTCTATCCACTTGAAAGTTTAATATAATCCAGTATTTTTTCATAGTTCTATGTCAAAGCTAGAGATGTTATGAAACAGTGGTTGTATTCTGCAAAGTATATAAAAGGGGGCGGGACAGTTAGAATGGGAGGGGGCGGAGCTTGCTTCCTGTAGAGGTAAAGAGTGGCATTTAATGTAGATTTTTAGTGAATATATATATATATATATATATATATATATATATATCGAATCGTACAGATGAATATTGAGGTTCCGTCATGCATGGCAGGCAATAGTAGAATGAGTGGCGAACCCTCGTTTACCGTTCGTCGCCGATAAGGTCAGTCCGGTCACATGACCTTCGAATCAGTCAAAGACAATGCAAACAAAATAGTTGTAGATATATCTTACTTGAAAGATGATACAGTTACAGACAATACATTGTCCCTCTCACACAGTTTTGTACATAAAGTAACATATTTAAGGTTTTATACATATTTCTACTGGGTTAGTTTCTCTACTTCCCCGACTTGAAGCACTTTTGTTCACTGTATCTCTGGCTTTATATATGTGTGTTTGAATGACGAGAGAGACAGAGAGAGAGTGTGTGTTTGGATGCATGTATGCGTGTTCCCTTACTTCCCTCACTTTATTTGTAGCCGTTTTTGCTGTTGTTCACTCGTTCCTCTGTGCTGTTTCCTTTAAGACACTTCTTTTGCTGTCTCACAGCGTGTTTTGACATGTGCTCTCTTAGTTTGATGATAATGAGCTTTGTATTTTTTGTTTTTTCTTTAATATTAAAGTAGTTTTTTCTATAGTTTCCTGTCGAGAGCCTAATAGCAGAATGTCTGCTGGTCATGTTTTAGCATCATGGTCAACGGTGAGCTGGATTCACCTGCCGAAATTTCACAATAGAAAGACCGACCCAGACCGTTTTACAAAAAAACAGCTTTCCCTAAGATTTTCAGAAACAGAACTAGATCCAGGCCAGTGTCACTGTCAGTGTGCACCAAAAAATAAGACATCGCTCAACCGAAACCTTTTTACTGAGAACCACTTGTTCAAACCAAAAATCGAGTTTGTGGCCTCTCTGAATACCAAGTGGGAAATTACTTTGTTAGCCTTTTTGGATTGTGATTTGACTTTTACAGCGACATATTAAGGTGTTTCTGATATTGGCAGTAGAAAAGATTGTTTACTGCTGTTTCTTTTAGTGACACTGGTTTCAAACCTTTCTAGAGCTGTTAATCTGAGATTTGTCATTCAAACGACATCTAGTTTAAGGCAACAGTGGTATGCAAAGGAAGCGATTGTTGAGTTATTTTCTTAGGACTGTTAAAATATAAGGTCTAAAGCATGTTGTATTTATAATTGCTATATTAAGTCGTGCCTGGTTTTCTTTCTTTCTTATTTTTCTTCAATGCAAAAAAAGCTTTTTTCTTTTTACTTGATTACATTGCTTTGCATTCTGTCCTAGTAAAGAAAAGTCTCATTTGTCTGTTTTCACTGTATTGTAAACTATTCAGATATCACAATAAATCTTAAATGGTATTGTGGTTTTGTTGGATATTTCTTTAAAAAAAAAAAAAAATCAAGAACCACTCTCATATCCTTTAGCTGTCCTTCATAAAACTGATCAAAAAGTAGGTTTTGCATTACGTTTACTAGGCATTGTTTACTTGTCCGTATCCATTTCTGTTGTGGGACTTTATTCTCCTGTTGATCAAATATCTTTACAGGACAGTTTTTGGTCTTTTGACACTCACCCACTGTGCGCACTGGCTTAAAATTCAAAAGTCGTGGCATTAAAGGGTTAGTTCACCCAAAAATGAAAATTCTGTCATTAATTACTCACCCTCATGTCGTTTCAAACCCGTAAGACCTTCGTTCATCTTCGGAACTCAAATTAAGATATTTTTGATGGAATCTGAGAGCTGTCTGACCCTGCATAGACAGCAACGCAACTGAAATGTTCCCAAGTCCAGAAACGTAGCAAGGAGATCTGTAAAATAATCCATGTGACATCAGTAGTTCATCTGCAATTATACGAAGCTACGAGAATACTTTTTGTGCGCAAAAGAAAAAAAAACGACTTTATTCAACAATTCGTCTCCTCTGCTTCACCCTGTAGCGCCATTTTGGAGAATATCAGCTGGATGTAAACAGCGTATGCTGTTCTGTGTCAGCTGCGTCACGCCGGATCTGTTTCCTACGTCGTTGTGATTTGATCTGAACGGAAACAGCGTATCCGTGTGACGCAGCTGACACAGAACAGCATACGCTGTTTACGACATGAGGGTGAGTAATTAATGACAGAATTTTCATTTTTGGGTGAACTATCCCTTTAAAGCCATGTGTTGTCAGAAATGTTAGTAAATGTTTTTAGCACTTCTGAATCTCTTTGGCCCTTGAGCATTGCTGACATAGTAGCTGTAATATCTAATACCACAAAGGTCTAGATTGATATGTCTTGCAGGCTATAAATTAAGTTTATAAATGCTATGGGTGATTGTAGCCTAGTGGATTTTGTTTTCTTAATTAAGCTTTAAAAGTTTTAAATACATGAGTGCTGTAAGCCAGGGTTATTTTAGAATAAATTAGACATTATTATAGTGTTTTTTTTTTTTTTCATTTTAAATGTAAATTTGTTGTGTGTTTTTGTCATTTTTATAAGTTTGTTTTAATATGTCTATATAATTACTCCAGTTTTAGTTATCCGAGTACATCAACAAACTAAATAAAAATAAGAACTACCCTGGCAACTAGCTGAAATAAAATAATTTTTTTTACACTGTTAAAATATATTTAAATTGACTGGTTTTTATCAGAATCAGAAGAGCTTTATTACCAAGTATGTTTACACACACAAGGAATTTGACTTGACGACAGGAGCTTCCAGTGTAGAAGAAAGTACAAACATAGTGCAGACATACATGATAGTGCAGACATACATAGGAATAACACAGCAGGGATGTAATATAACACTAATATAATAAAAAAAGAAAAATTAGAAAAATGTAATGTACTATATACAGAAATAGAAGTATAGGAAAAAATGAATTGTTTAGATAAATGTACAGATATGTTTATTAGTGTGCAGATATGTTATTTACAAAGTGTGCAGTTTAATATAAATGGACGATGTATAATTATGAAAGATTAATTGTTCAGGCTGAATATAGCCTGTGGGAAAAAACTGTTCTTGTGCCTGGCTGTTCTGGTGGTCAGTGCTCTGTAGCGCCGACCAGAAGGCAACAGTTCGAAGAGAGAGTGGGCTGGGTGTGAGGGGTCCAAGGTGATTTTTTTAGCCCTTTTCCTCACTCTGGAGGTGTAAAGATCTTACAGATCTTTTGCAACCTGTTTGCTACCTCGTTTAAAACTCAAGTCTATTTCAGGAAACAAAAGTTGCTGCTCCAGCTTTTGTGGAACCACAAATGACCTCAAATTTGATGAGTGCCTCTAAATTAGGACAGCATACCTTTTTCAGCGTTGTTACATCTGAACACCAACTTTCGTTGATGCGATCCGCTCTGAACAGCTGGTAACCCGGCAGATGAAGCGCTTTGTCCGGAATGGCTTCACTCAGCCAGGTTTCAGCGAAGCACAGTGCGGCAGAGTTTGAAAAGTCCTTGTTGGTGCGGGTGAGGAGAAGAAGTTTATCCGTTTTGTTAGGAAGGGAACGGACATTCGCAAGATGAATGCTTGGGAGCGCAGTCCGAAAGCCGCGCGC